TAGATCCTTTTGGGTAATTGATTTTTTTATATAGGTTTTAACTTTTGACATTTGATTTGTTAAAGATTCTGATTTATACAATCTTATCATTTTGCTTTAATTTTTTTAATATTGATTTCGTGATATCTTTAATTTTATCTTTTTATGTGTTTATTATGGTTTCATGTCCTAAGTAACATGTTTTACATGAGAATTTTGAATATAAGTTTTTTTGGAGAATTGTTTTGTTTGTGTTGGATTTTTCAAGATATTATTCTAATTTATCTATAATTGTTTTATACAAATGAACTTTGTTTCTCCAAAAGAAAAATTTTTATTTTTAAATAATATTGCCGATGTGTTGGGCCTTGTATAATATTTTGTTTAAACTGTATCAATCAGTTTCATTTGTATTTATCTTTTAGAACATGAATTTTTGATATATGAATTTACTTTTTATTGAGTTAAATAAACAAGTTCAGTAAACACAATCAGGTGAATGACTCATTTTATTTGATTGAATATCTTTATTTACATTCATCTTTAATTTTTTTTAATTTCTCTTTTGGTAATTATTATTTATTTATATAAATTGTTATAGATTTATTTAATTAGATATTTATACATAAATAGTTATCGTTTATTTATGTAAATTATAACTCACGGCAAAGCACTGGTTAAATGACTAGCAATTATTAAATCTAAACGCAATTGGCTCGATTTATTAAGGTTTTGTCATTATATTTCATTCACTCTTTAATCATATATGCCACGAATATACAAGAACCATACCTTAGCTCTCATTTCGATCTCCGAAAAAAGAAAATTAAGGTCTTCCGTTTCAGTTCTGTCCCTTATGTTCAGTGTCTTTAGTCTCTCTCTCTCTCTCTCTCTCTCTATATATATATATATATATATATATATAAATTGCAAAAATAGCACCAGTCAGGAAGACAGCTAGAACGAGCTGCTCCAGTTTCTAAGCACATGGGCAGCAATTGAATATGATAAATTCTTGTCAATCCTAATAGCGTTGATCAATCTGCCCTCAAAAGCATACGGAAATGAATAACATTTATATATTTGGGTAGCTAGCGGAAGGTCAACCGGTTTAATTATCTGTTACGAAAGGCATTTACGAACAAGTTGCAAGATCATTTTATTTTAACATCCAATAGAGCGTGGAGGGAGTGGCTTTGATACATTTGCAAGCTCATTAGTCTGTGATTTCGAGTGATTCCAGGACAACAATTGCGGGATTTACTCATCATTCAGCAGCAATATTCTTTAAAAAGCAAAAACTGGACGAGAGAACATTCCATCATCTTACAATGGACACGTACAGAATGAACCAAGAAAAAGTGCAGCAGACACCTTATGTTCTTTTTTCTTTTCCAAATTTATAAAAAGGGTGGCAGCATTGTAATGTTAGGCACAAGTTCCTCTCCTCTCTCAGAGATGTAAAGAAGACAGATTAGTATCGCACCAAATTTTGCTTTCTGATATTGCCACATCAGATCAGACCCACCATTTAATGTGGGGCAAGATGCTTTATATCTCTCAGAGATGTAAAGAAGACAAAAAGAAAAAAAGAAAAAAAAAGAAGACAGATTAGTATCGCACCAAATTTTGCTTTCTGATATTGCCACATCAGATCAGACCCACCATTTAATGTGGGGCAAGATGCTTTATATGGTTGCATCAGAGGGTCATGATGTCTACTGAATGATGAATTCACTCTATGAATCAGGCATCGTGGTGATTCGGAACCGAAATAAATTCAATGATAGTCAAACTGTAGCTCACAATGTGGCCAAGAAAAGCTTCAAAAAATGAAACGCTTCTTGCCTCTTGGCCAAATAAAACCTTCAAATGGTAACTGAACCTTCCTGGTGGATCCATACAGCTGACCCCAAGCTAGAGACTCTTCATTTCACTCCCATTCCCTCTTGACCAAGTATTGCTGCCCGTACCAAATCTACCTCCACACCCTTACAAGTACTTTATTACTATATATATTTGGAGCTTTCTTCTCCTTCAATTGCCAACACATTGGAACTCAAAAAGAGTTTCAAGAGCTTTGTATTGTTCTTGTTTGTGGACACCAACCCACCAAATTCTGTCCTGAACAGCGAACTTCTCCCCCTTGCCACTCGTGTCTTAAACTCTTTATTATACTTTGTTGTGCTTGTTATAAATCTATAATCGATGGCTGAATCCAAATCAAAACCTAATCTTGTTTTTTAAATTAATTTGTTTAAATCACTTGAATCTAAAGTATTTGAACTTATTCTCCAGAAGAGGATCGATAAGAATGAATCAACAGCACTGGCGTTAAGCGTTATCGTTGCCAAACGTGGGGGCTGCTATGGGATTTGTGAGCAAGTTGACGCGTGACATGCTCTAATGAGACACCAGCTAGAGCACATGGGCCTTAAGAAAGAGGCTCGAGTGCACGGGTCTAGAACAACTCAGCTATGGGTTTTAATTTTTTAAGGGGTATTAAATCTTTAGAAAAAAATAATAGCAGGCGACATGTGTCCTGCTCCAATGTCAACAATCTTTAATTGCTATAAAATTGGGTTATGAAATTTTAGATAAAACCTCATTTTCAACTATCGTTCAATTTAAAAAACATTATAAATAACTTATAAAATATATTTATAACCATAAAAATTCTAAAATAGTGTTTGAAAACCAATAATTAACACAAAACCAAAGTAAAACTTTGATTTATTTTAGTAAAACTTTGATTTATTTTAGTTTTGCAAAACCAAAAAGTATTTGTTTTTTTGACTTATGTCATATGTTTTGCAAACTAATATAGGTCAATATCGGTTTTTTATATTTTTTTAAATTTTATTATTTAATATTAAATTATTTTTTATAAAACATGCATACTTGTATTGACTAAATATTATTATTTTTTGCTTTATTTTTTTTATTGACTTATGGCGGATGGCGTTACAATTATCTAGTTTTCGGCAACCTGGCATCATACATAGCTAATGAGGAACTGGCCTTTGGGGATATTTATATCAGCTTGTTCTTAGTCAATTCACAATGCTCTATCAAATTATCCAAACCTTTGCAGCTTGTAGCCTCGTTATGTGTAAACCAGAAATCACAAATATGAGTGACTTTCTAATTGATGATGCTCTCAGGTTTTTTAAGAGATTGATGAACTCATTCTTGACAGGTTATCGGGTTTGAGTTTAAGGAAGGCATAGAGAAATAAGGATCAAGCTGGTCATTGTTATAGAAAAAGTTCAATAATCCAAAGGAGGTCTCTGGCGAGACATGATCCTTATCGATTACCTACAAAACAAGTTTTTAGTCATGGACAGGAAACCCTTCTCTGTTTATGTAAATAACTATTTATGAGGGAAGAATATATCGAAGAATGTACATCCAAGAATATCCAGAAACCTTAGACTTATTTGTTTTTGAAAATAATTTGAATATTTTTATTTTTTTATTTTAAATTAATATTTTTTTTGTGTTTTTAGATCATTTTGATGTATTAATATCAAAAATAATTTTTTTAAAATAAAAAAATATTTTAATATATATTTTTTATAATATTTTAAAAAATAATTATTATCATATTTTTATACTGTATTCGATCACTTCAGAAAAGGAGAAAATCATTTTTCCTTCCTATCATAGATGTTGGACTGATCATGTGGTTGCAT